GACAGCCTCATATACAGTTTGATCGTTTAATTGTTCTTCTATTTTTGTTTTATATTTATTTTGATCCATGATCATGACCTTTCCGCCTTTAAATATTGTCAAGCAGAGGCCTCAGCAGCTTGAGAAAGTATAACCCAAACCCGACCGGCCTGCAGAACGTCAACAGCAACCCGATTCGACTCTACCATCTCGTGGGGTTAGGTTGATCATGAACAAACAATCAGCTTTTCTGCTTAATTATGAATTTCCTTGTATAAAACACTTTCATAACTCGAAGATTATGTCGCTAAAAGGCACTACATGTCTGGATTTACAATTTCTGGATTATATCTCATGTTCTTCTTGTTCTCCTGAGATTACATTTGAACTACTACGACGTGTATAGAGTTTTTCGAACAATGAAGGTTGTGCTACTCGGGCCAGTGATAAAAAGTTTGAACTTGATTCATTGAGTGGATCAAAAGTTGTAGCGAAAAATAGATGTCGTAACGGAATACCAGATAGATAGATACATACATAGGATACCCTTTACCGAATATCGGTGTAAGGTGAAGATACAAGAAACATAGCTGATAAAAAATGGGGGGTTTTGTCTAGGTTTAAAGCCACTCATAGAGTGAAAGTTTTTGAGCGCATTCGGAGAATACAAAAAGTGTTCGAATCTGATCCACTTGTGCAAAATCGTCGTAGAATGTGGGATGCAGTAATGTAATATCGGCTTGCCACCATCAGATCACAAGTGAATCCAGTTTGGGAAGCAGAAGTCATTTTATTATTCGCATGTCACATTCAGCTTTTTCGTTGAGCACAAGTTTGATTTGTTGTTGTTGTAATTCAGTTAATCCATATTATTTATCAATTGTTGTTCCTTCTTCTTATATGGATTATCTCGCCGGCTAACCTTTACCATAATCCTTATAACATTTCTTTGCATGACTTCACATGGCTTGTGATTCCTTGCGGTTTAGACAATTTTCCGCATTTACTGTTCTGACATATGTATTCATTATTGCTATTTTTTGTTAACAGTTCAGTTATTTTAGATTGTGGAGAGACAGTTTTAGTTGTTTTTACTGTTTCACTAGTTACAGCAGTTGTTGATGATGATGTATTCCTTTTATCGCATGTACGTCGGTGGATTATCACATCCCTTTCATTTTTACATTTTTGGCCGCACATCGTGCATACATTATTACCGGCTGTAGTTGGAGTAGTAGCAATTGATGGGTCTTTTGTTATTATACTTGATATTGATGCACGTGTCTCAGTCCGGTTTCTCACCGCCTTTTCCTTATATTCTTTTATGATTTTATGAACATGTCGATGAACTGCTTGATTTTTAACGTTTTTGTTGATCATTTTCCTCCATCGGCCTTTGTCTGGTGTGTCTCTTCTCCAATTTTGAATCTTCAACTTTTCGATATCATCGAAATATCGTATCAAAAAACCGAGACTAAACTTAAAAGGTATTTTCTTAAAAACTACAGGTCCGGTACCCGGAAAAAGTATTGAAATATACACTTCAAAGTGCCCTCTAACTAGGAAAAGCCGAGTGCAACAACCCCTCTCTCAGAAATACGAATTTTTTGTAAAAACGTCAGTATTGAGCTAAGAACCTTATTATTAGATAGTCCACGATGTCTCCTGTCTGAATTCATGACAGTAACACCTTCATCGAAGATTTCTACAAGCTTTTTAGGCTCTTCTGTAAGCTTTCAACTTTGAATAAAAGCCTTAATGTCTCTCCGAGAGACATTAAGACTTTTATTCAAAGTTGAAAGAAACAAGTAAATCTTATATCAGTTAACCAAATCATTTAGCATAATGGAGCATCTCTTACTCTTCTATTGTCAAAATGCCTTCCTTGTTCATTTCTCGTGACACGGAAGGAAATCCAATGTCAAGCAATTATCTGCAACGCATTTCGTTCATTTTTGGATGGAATTGCTCGATCAAGTCTTTTTTCTAGAACTCTTGGAGCATATCAGAGACAGGCCGAAACGAAATTTCAATGTTTGATTGCAACATCCAGAAAGAACTGAAACATGCTCACAGATCATCATTGCAAATGATCATTCGTTTTAAGAGTTACCTAACAAAAAATCACTGACTATCAGTGTGATCTTTTGAGAGAGGATGACACTTGCTTCGTATTTCTTAATACTCTCGAAAGTACAAAGCATGTGGCATATTTGTTGCTCGATACAACGTCTATTCGAAGTCTCTGGGTGTTTATCTTGTTGCTGGAGATTCGATGACTTGATTTTCGGAGAGAATTTGTGTCAAAAATCCAATTAGTATCAGGTCGAAACTGGTATTCTACATAGGCCACTCCAAGTTTTTTCACCAGCTCTTCAGACAAATAATCAAGGACTGGTTCTAGTATTTTTTTCCAAAGTATAGCCCCTAACGCACAACGCACTTGTGCATTCGATTATAATAGGCCATGGAAGTCGCTTTTGAAACCATTTTTTGTGTGGCCGTTAATGAAACTAATTGATTAGTATACCACCTGAAGGTGTTAAGTCCCCTCATGCTCATACTAAACGGGCACGGGTTTTCTTGTAAGTTAAGCCAATTTATTAGTCATATAAAATCATACTTGAAAAGTGTTCTGGTGAGAATTCAGATTCATGTGGAAATGCTGTACCACTAGTCTGGAACAAATGCACAAATACAACGACGCACAAGACTTAAAAGTCTGAAATTTTGCGTATAATCCTAAATATGTCTAAGCATTATAGTAGAATGGTTGCACTCAAGTTACCGCTTTTAGGAGAGCCGGGCGAAAAACTTTTGGAGTGTCCTATGTAGTTTCAATTCTGTCTGGAATAACCAGATAATGAACCAGACCATCATGTGAGCTGTACTCTCACTGTTTGAGAGCGTTGAGACAATTGTCATTTGGCTTGCGCCACTCGAACATTACATAAATCCGCCGGCGATAATGATATCTGGCTAACGGTCAACGGACGTACGCCACCGATTCATGTTATATCTAGTCAAGGCGACAGAGTGAAACGGTGAGAGCCTCACTGATGCTCGCTCCTGTAGTTCCGTCATCATATTTTCTTTTTGTTCCTTTACGAGATTGCACCTTTCATCATAGCAACGGCATACATTGCATTTCGGATATAAAAGTTGATGAATGTTATCGTTGCGTCTCATCGACTTGACTGAAATATCCCGTATTGATCTATTTCTCAGTTCGCATATTTATAAATAAAATAACGTTAATAAGCGTTCCTCAGTGTGCTTGATTAGTCCTTTTACCAATTATCAACAATTTACCACTTGAGTCGCAAAAGTAGACTTTTGGGATCGGAAAAAACCGGACACTGCTGGATTAACTACAAAAAAACTGTGTGCTGCTGGCTTGATTGCTGTATTGAAGAACAGTATCATTTTTAAGATATTTCAAATAATATTCGTAAATATATGTTGACTCTACATCTCCAACTAGTGTAAAATTTTTTACAATAACATTCTTTGTAATACCACATTGAATTAATGATTTAAATGTGTTCAAAGATTTTATACCCGTATAATTGCCCATAATACCAATACCTTTCAAAATATAAAAGAACATTATCTGAAATCGCAAAACGTTCACTTGCGAAGTAATAGAACCCTTACGAGCCAGTGCACATAAGCTACGACCGGAGCGTGCTCAATGAAGGTTCTCAGATTTCCTCAATTTAAGATAAGTTACAAAGAACACAGTTTTATGAATTTTGACGCAACCGTTCTCAAAAATATTAAACCTTCGATTTTTTTTCCAAAGAAAAGCCCTGAAAATGAAGATCCTCTTCAGAGGGGTTTTGCACACTCTATATATAAACAACGGCTTGACCGATCGAGCTGAAATTTTTGTGGATGTATACACCAATGAATACTACTCAAAAAAGATGTTCAGCCCAAACAGTTGAGTCCTTGATATTTTATGGATCTCCCTTATACAGACAAAAATCATTATTTTACGGCTTCATATCTCATGACTGGAAAGAGATAGAGGCTCGCAGTTTTTACTGTGGGTGGATTTGATAGAGACCTATCTTCATTAAATATTTCAGCTTCGTAAATCGCTGCTTTCGCCCAGAAGGACCTTGTCAAAATTCGACGATCCCGATTTTCAGTCGAGGTTATCTACCAAGAAACCAGTTGCATTCGGAGCTGACATTGAGGTGGCCAAAGGCCCATCTGTGTTCTACAGCATCAGGATAGAATGAGCGTGGGATCTGTAGAAGCAGCTCAGGGAAAAATCACCTTTGGGAGCCCCAAACGAAGTGCGATTATATCCTCCACTTGGGATTCCAATCGGGCAGAAAATCTCGTCTGAATCGTCATATCTAGGTAACTTTGGACGGAGAACATGATGATCATAGGCACTCATATCTATCTGAAATTCAGTTTGCCACAAGCCCCAGAAAGCCGGTACACGACATGAAAGATTGTGCATCCTTGCCGCTCAAACCATGGTTTTCTGGAAATCCGAAACGATCAGGCTCGAATTTCTCTGTCGAGACATATCGCCGCCGAACGAGCATCACTGAAAATCTATTCTGCATAATTTTTATCCATTAGAACGTCTTCGAAGAAACCGTAATGTCGTTAAATTTTGAAGTTGACTAAAAGTTGTCTTGCTCACATAATGTTTCATTACATGCTCTCCCATTTGAACCCTTTACCCCGTTGGGGTAAAGTTTCTGCCTTTTATTTAGTAAATTTTTTTCTCATTTCATCCTCGTTTCATTCATTCATCACTTCATACATAACGGTCCGTTACAATTTGGTGGAGATGCCGAGTACTGTCTAATCCATATCCTCATCAATCATTCATCATCATCATTCGTTTATTCACGGACTCATTCATTCGTCATTATCTGTTCATAAACATACAACACCTACGGCGTTCATCAGCATCCTCATTCGTGCCAGATCATTCAATTCCTCTCAGTATCATCAGTGGCGACTCGAAAGACTCTGAGTACGAAGCCTTCATGTCAATTATTAAACAACTCAGAGAAATAATCCAGCATAATCAGAATCGGATCGATGGCCTTCGACGACAGGTCACTGAAATGCGTTCATTCATGCGAGCCGGTTCATCAGCAGCAGCTGTGGAGCGTCCTGTTGACTTATCATCACCACCGTTAATCAGTTCAGACCTAAGCATCACAACAATAACATCACCGCTAATTGAAGTTGGCTCAACAATTGCGATACATTTAAAACCAGCTGATTTTCCTAAATTCACTGGGAAAGAAAGCGAAGATATCGACGAATGGATCGCACAAGTGACATACTCACCCTTGACAAGGAAGCTGAAATATTTAATGAAGATAGGTCTCTATCAAATCCACCCACAGTAAAAACTGCGAGCCTCTATCTCTTTCCAGTCATGAGATATGAAGCCGTAAAATAATGATTTTTGTCTGTATAAGGGAGATCCATAAAATATCAAGGACTCAACTGTTTGGGCTGAACATCTTTTTTGAGTAGTATTCATTGGTGTATACATCCACAAAAATTTCAGCTCGATCGGTCAAGCCGTTGTTTATATATAGAGTGTGCAAAACCCCTCTGAAGAGGATCTTCATTTTCAGGGCTTTTCTTTGGAAAAAAAATCGAAGGTTTAATATTTTTGAGAACGGTTGCGTCAAAATTCATAAAACTGTGTTCTTTGTAACTTATCTTAAATTGAGGAAATCTGACGAGGGAACATATTTAACTGAACCACCGTGTTTTTAATGAAATCTAGCGGAGTATAAGTAAAAAATGGTGCTGAATCCAAATAGCGGCATGAGACGGGCCGCTAGACCTTGTGAGTACCGAATTTCTGGGAAACTAGGTTTCCAGAGCCAGAAACGTTTTGTCCCAAAAATTTTTTCTGATCCGTCTCGATTGTAGAGCACATCGAGAAACCTATAAACAACTAGTTTTCAGAATTTTGGAACCCTTCCACAGTCCGTCAGACGGACTTTCCTTGTCTTTCCCATACGTTGAGGTTTTTTAAGGGAGCCTTAGCTTTGTAAAACCTTCAAAAACACTTTAAAAAACCCCAAAACTAGTTTTTTTATAGGTTTCTCAATGTGCTCTACAATCGAGACAGATCAGAAAAAATTTTTGGAACAAAAAGTTTGTGGCTCTGGAAGCCTGGTTTCCCAGAAATCCGATACTCACAAGGTCTAGCGGCCCGTCTCATGCAGCTATTCGGATTCAGCACCATTTTTTACCTATACTCCACTAGATTTCATTAAAAAAATGATTGGTCAGTTACATATGTTCCCTCGTGAGAACGTTCATTGAGTAGGTTCAGTCGTCATTTATGCAGACTGGCTCTTATAAAAACCATACACATAAAAATTCATCTAAGATGTTTAATTACTTCTAACAAGGCTATCACAAGATCAAGATAAAATTGACATAAACCTAAGATCCGTTGCTCTAGAAAGTTAAAAGAGGAATTGATTTTTACCCAATGATTTAAAATTATAACCAACACAATGTGCGCCGACATATGTCCATCCTCTACCTCTATAAATTTTTTGTTGGTCATTATTATCATTACATATTAAAAAATTATAACCAATATCAGTCCAACCGCGTTTATCCATTTGAGAATCTTGAAGATCTTTCATTGTTTTAATACAATCTTGTTGATTCATAGTTGAATTCAAAACTGGTAATTGTCTGATAACAATATGTGTAACCGGTAATGTTGTTAAATTCTCACGACTTATATACGGACGTGCATCCCAGCTAGATCGATTTAATATTTTGGGACAACCTACAAGAAACGCATATCAAACATGTCTCTTTGTAGTTATTCAAAAAAGAATAGAATTTTTAGTATTTTGCGCAACGAATACTTTACTCTAAATATATCAAGTTTTATTAATCTGTTAACTGCAACATCAACTTTACGTGCGTCGTGAAGGTCTATGAAATAAAGAATTCGTGAATTGACTGCTCCACCTGAACTCAAAGTCAGTGGCTTTAATTTCCAATAAGAAAAGAATGAATTTTAATTAATTAATTTAAAAGCTAAGATACATATTTTGGAGAAGTTGGGTAGAGGTTTCACATTTTTGCTTGTTAGGACCTTCTCTAGAAAGTTTTTTTTATTGTCTCACATTTACCTAGTGTTAATTGATACTCGCCATCATTATCTTTTTCTGGTGTAGGCGTTGCCATGTTTGTAGTCTTTTTTTTAATAATAAAAATATAAATGAATATAAAACTTAAAGCCAAAATAATAGCTGATAGCAAAACTCCAATGACGCAATAAAGACGTTTTCGTTGTTTAAAGTTTACATATTCTTCGACATCTTTTATAACATCACTAGATGACGAAAATGTTGATCTCGATATTTCACTACCTGAAAATTTGACAAACAGAATCGAAAAAATTAATTTTCTTCGAAATATGCGAAGAAAAGCATCTTACTTTCTGACTCCTTTTTATTATCATTTGGATCTTCACATTCTTCTAATTCAATTTCAATTGAAATTGATGCTGTTGGATCATCAAGATAATTTCGTTTAATTGTCATTACTTTAAAAACAGAAAATGGAATAATTAAGATTTCTTTTTCATCCGATCTCGTTGATAAATTTTGTATATTGATAGCTGTTGAATTTTGTTTTATTAAATATTGACATAAACATGAATATTGTAATGCACAATGATCTCCAAGAGTATGTCTCATTTGTGATTGTTCACCTTCACCAGCAAACATTTCAGCTACTTGACGATCAATAGATGTTGATAAAAATGAACGATTTAATATATGTTGATTTAATTGATACTGATCTAAGTCATTTTGTGTTATTCTCATACCACGATAACATAAACCTTGATATCGATGCTGAGGTAAATTTGGATGGTAAATTAAGAGTGTAATAAGGTGAATCAGACAATTTACAAGACGATAATTAGATGAAAATGTTTTTGTTTTATCGAAATATTCTAAAATATACAAAGCCAAATGTTTATTCAACACTTTATAAAAAAAATTTGTTAATGTATAAGCTTTTATAAAATACGTTAAATAATCTTGTTTTTCTATGGCTTCTTTAAAATATGCTTCAATGGTTTCAATTTGTTCACGAGTGATTTGATGTTCCGAATTGCCAGTATCATTACTCTGATTTATCAGATAATCATTTAAATAATAATGAATAACTTCAGCTAATAATTTCGATACTAAATGATGATTATCATACGTTTTGTATACATCAATAGCTTGACGAAATTCGCGTCGTTTTTCAAGGAGATCATCGCCTACCATTGACCATTCAATATTATCATAATCATTATTTGAAAATAATGTTCGTTGTTCTACAAACAATTGTTTTATATCATCTGTGCAAGCTTCTTCATAAGGTGTTAAATTGTGTCGTAAATTTTTTGTGGAATGAAGAGCCCCATATTCTAATAAAATTTGTACCATATCTCGATGTCCATAATAGCATGCTACATGCAAACATGTTGAACCAGTTGAAATCTGAATTTTATTTATAATATTTATATTGCCAAGAAATGGTAAAATACTTCGAACTTTTTCTATTTCATTTTCTTTACATAAATGATACAATTTATCAATGATATTTTGATCATTGTCGTCATTATTTGATGACAATGGTGATAACATTACGATGACAATGAAGAACAGAATTGTAGACAAATACGTATCTATTTGTAACGTGTTCTAGGCACTAACTATAAAAGGAACAATAAGAACAATATTTTAAAATATCAACTTTCCTCTTTCCACTTTTTTTACATTGAAACCTTCATAATAGCTATAAAAATACTACGATACTTACAAAAGGAAATCAAAAGTGTTTTTTCTCTGATTTACTGCTTGATTTAAACTTTTCCTTTATTTGGGGGAAAAAGTATTTAAGGATGGATATATTTTTGCTTTTTTATTATACATCTTGTTATAATGAAGAACTGTACAAATAATAATAAAGAAAAAGGAAATCCGTTAATACTTTATTCGGTACCGTGATATAAAAAATGAAGATTTTTTGTTTTTTATTGTCGTAAATTGTTTGTCGAGACATTGATGTACCACTTAGCGCTATACCTTCTCATATTTCATATGATGGTCAAACTACACAGTAAAAAAGTGTGAAATAAATGCTGAAGTGCTGCAGAGCCTGAAACAACATTTAAGAAAGAAACCTGTAAAATGAAAAGTGTGGAAAGAACTTGTAATGACCAAGTTTTGTTAAAACATTCATGTCAGATGCCTAATCATTAATCACTGACAAAACTAAAAAGTAGATTTGGATTATCTTTTACGGATACGCCGCGACATTCGACTTCATTGAAAAGAAAGTAAATAGGGATAAGTATTGAAAAGAGCAACTTTTTTCCTTCTGACCTTACATGCTATTAATGTACTTCTCTTTTAAGGACCGAGAAGAGAGAGGCAAACAAACACATTGCGTACTTACAATACAGCTATTTAATTGTGGATTAAATCCACTTGACGTGATCACAGTTCCTTTCTATCATCACTAATATGCAAAAGTAGTGTCCGCAGTGCTCCTGGCTGTAGAATAATGGATTCAATCACGTCAGCTGTATCTATTCTCATGGTGAATTACATGCCGAGAAGAGAAAATCTTATCACTTTTCGCAATACATGGAGCCATGAAAACAATAAATGATTCATAAAAAACACGAAAATCGCCAAAATATCGGAAGACAGCTGTAATTATTGCGACTTTTCTCATATTGCACCCTGATCATCCAGGCAGACAGAGGTGTCGAAAAAGCTTTATGGTAAAGAAATGCCGTTTATGCGCCTAATAAACATTAAAAAAAACACAAAAAGTAAATTAAAACTATAGTAAGGCCCGGGCAATTCAAAGTTTCAGCAGATGATATATCTGTATGAAGCATACATCAGTTGATAGCCCTTGACGAGGTGATCCCAAATATCACCTTTGAAAAAATTCTAGTCCTTTCCTTCGTGGAGAAAACCTCGAAATACTTCGTTCTTGTCCAGTTTGCAAAA